CCACAGGCAACTCTTTTTTCCTCCTTTGCGCTTCCTTTATAACGGTCATTTTGGCCCCCATTCTCCCTCTTTTGACTCCCCAAAAAGACAGGAGGCCCGTGATTCTTAGTGATACCTGCGGAGGAGGCTAGGATATCTCGTAGTGGAAATTGATAATTGGGTGGAAATGATGAAGTCTCATTCTTTGCCACTGATGAATTAACCACAGTCCATTTGTACTTGCGATGGGTGGATTTTCGTACACGAACAAGACGAGTTTTTCCCATATCCAATGGTCTGAAGGAAAATTAAACGAGTCTAAGCCATAAATTGAAACACAAATAATTAGTGTTTTTAATGATTTAGGACGTTTCCGAGTCGATAGTTGAAAAGAAAAATGCATCCCAAATTMCTTCTCCAATTAATTATTCTTCGCTTGAGCACATTTTTTCTTCTTTCTTTTTCAAGTAAATATAATGTATATAATTTTGTAGATTTTGTTTAATTTATTTTCGATCCATTATTTTGATTTTACACAGAATTTTATACTCGAATAGTATCAAACTTAGGATCGCGGCCTTGATTCTCGACTCGATCACTTCTAAGCGATTATTTTTTCTTTCCTACTTTTTTTTTACTAAAACAAACTTTTTTTCTGTAAATGTTTGTTTTACATATTTTACACGCAAGATCATACTTAAATAGCGGCGTTGAACTGACGATCACGCAGGGATCGCAGCTTCGATTTCTACAMATTTTTTTCTTTCYTTAACTTTAAAATATATACTCGTTCTTTTTCTCTTAAATCATTTTATGCAAAGCAAACTTTCATCTTATAAATTCTCTGAAGATAATGCAAACGCAATCTGAATGCTAAATTTTCGCTGCAATGAAAAAAATATTAAAAAAATGATGTGAAAAGATCATACGCAATTAAAATCTATCAAATCGATCTCGGCGCTGGTAAAAGTATATATTAGCGTAACCTGGACTATGGTTCCACCAAGTGGTTCTTGTGCTTATTTCTGTGCTTATACCACACGCTTKATTGCTTCCTTTGTCTTTTCTTTTGTCTCGGTTTGTCTCTACGCTTATGTCCTAGTGAAAACCAGGCATTACTGTGTACAGTGCTACTGTGAATTGTTAATACTCATTAAAAAAATAAAATGGTTTAGAATATTTTTRCAGTCTTCTTTGTAGGCGTTCCTATTTTAGGATTTTCCGTACGAGACCTTTGTCCAATTAAA